CTGCCCCAGCCTTTGACCAATTTCTGAAGAATCTTTTGTAAGGAGACTTAGATTAAAACATTTTTAGCATTTGACCCCCTCAGACACTGATGATTTGTGTTATGTTGGGGGCAGGGGGGGGGGGCGCTGCCCCAGCCTTTGACCAATTTCTGAAGAATCTTTTGTAAGGAGACTTAGATTAGAACATTTTTAGCATTTGAACCCCTCAGACACTGATGATTTGTGTTTCGCCCTCTCAGAGTTTTTCGGCTAGCTCCGCCACTGCTCGCAAGTGCATCCATACAGCATAGTCACATTGAGTTTGACTATTTCGCTGCTTGGCTAAATAAATAGTCGTCCCTTAGCCCATAACATGCATCAAGTAGCACCCACGTACGTGTGCACTTGCATGACATGTTCTTTGGATCATTTACTTATTTAAGAGCAACATTCAATCCTTTGCAACCACAAAACAGAAACCCAGAAGACATATAGGCTTGGTCTAAACATAACATAAACTGATCTGATACATCATAAGACAAAGACAAAAACAAAAACAAATGAACAAAAAAACAATAAAGAAAAACAAAAAAAATGTAGTTTTCTAAGAAATGATGAATTTGGAATTTCTGCCAGTCACTATTTTTCTTTGACCAAGGGGCACATGTACGTACTAGCCTGCCTCGCCAGAGAGCACAAGCTAGCTAGTTATAGCAGTACACACAAGTGTTGAACTTCATAAATATATCTTATGTGTAAGTTTTGCTCGATAGATCCACTAAAGCTTAATTACGATACGAGGTATGTGTACATATATGAAGACATGAAGTTGGTGTTTATTTAATCTTCGCATGAGGATAATGAGTAAAGGTGTAGGCATTCATGTAGTTTTTATATGAAGAAAATAAAAAAAATAAAAACAATGAAGTTTCTAACCAAGAATCAATTAGTGACATTGGTATTACCCTTTAGGAAACAATTTGAAATGAACAATGAAAAAATATGCTCACAGTTAGGCATAAATTGCATTGTTTTTAATATGCAAGAATAAATTTCTAAAAAGGAAGTTTCCTAAAATGAAAAGAATAAGTGGCACCCTTAAAGAAAAAATAAAATAAAATGAAACAACAACATAAACAAAGTAATGAGGTTTTCTAAGGAAGAATGAGTTAGTGGCATTGGTATTACCGTTTAAGCAGAAAGAAAATGAAAACACTAAAACAAATAATGACAAAATTTGTACACAATTTACACACAAATTGGCTTTTTTGGTAATACGCAAGAATAAGCATATAATAGTGGAATTTTTTCCAAAAAAGAATTTTCCTAAGTACACATTAATTAGTGGCAAAATTGGCATTACCCTTATG